AGTAAGGCAGAATTGTGTTCATATTAGCCTAGGAATCCCTGTTGGTGGAGCTTTTCATAGATCTGTGGAGGGTCAGTGTGGGTTTCAATCTAATGTAAGGTCCAGAATGTTTCCTAAGGAACTTGTCTATCTTACAATGAATCTCCTTCAAGCCCAACTGACCTTCCTAAACAAAGGCAACTTTCTGCTTCTTGTTCACTGTCTGACATTAGGTATTTGGGACCCTGAGCCTGTTCTCCATTCTTGATGCAACTGATATAATAAATCAAGGGAAGAACATGAACTGAAAACTCTCCAACAATAGTAGTTGACAAGCTTATCAAGTGTTTTCGTTACAGGTCTGATGAATAAGTAAAATGGTAATACAGCTTTTTAACTCATAGGAACAAAGGCTTCAAAGGGACAGGTGCACTTTTTTTTTTCCTGCCAGTCCAGAGGCTTGATCTCAGGGCCTTGGCACTGTCCCTGAGCTTCTTTTTGCTCAAGGCTAGCACTCTACCTTTTGAGCCACAGCGCCACTTCTCGGTTTTTCTGTATATGTGGTACTGAGGAATCGAACCCAGGGCTTCATGAATGCTAGGCAATCACTCTACCACTGAGCCACATTCCCAGCCACACCTATTCTTTTATTGCATAGTGTTGTATGCATCACACGAAGACTTATGTCTTGCTCCTGACAGAGGAGCAAGAAGTGAAGGGATATTTGTTGAATGAAAATAAATATCAATACAATGAAAGAATTGAATTCTCAAAGAATCAAGTCACAGGGTTTTATATATTTAAGCAAAACAATGGGCTAGTTACAGATGTTACTTGGATTTGGGGGGGATGTTTATATTAAAAATATTAAAATGACACAGCAATGTAATAATTGATATAAAATAGATTTTGACCTCTTTTAAGGAAGTAAAGACATTTTAATGATTAGTATTGTCACGATGACTTTCCATACTCTGAATGTAAGTTCCTCAATGTTTTTCATTATATGGAATAAAGTCCTGCTCAAGGCGGCCTCTACCACATGTACCATACCTCTATTCTTTAATTTTCTTATAAAAATATGTAATGTCAACTTTTAAGCCCTGGTTCAAAAATATGTCATAAAACTAATAGAAAATAAAGCAATGATGAAGCTAAAATAAGCAGATATTCCACATGGATAGACGACATTCTGCTTCATGTTCTACTTCTATTAATTTTTATTAATGATACACTGAGGCTTGCAGTGGCTTTAATTCAATTTCTCAGATGAGATACAAAAGCTTGCTGAAATTACATACCTGTCATTGGGACATATAGCTACATACATAGTAAACATGCTGGTGGGATCCAAGTTCAGTGCTGTGAAGTCCAAGCTGTTTACCAACCAATCTACACTCTACTTTTAATACCATGCATTCACTTCCACTTCTATATAAGTATATATATATATATATATATACACACATTATATAAATATTCCCACATATATACCTGTATATACATATATATACATATATATATATATACCATATACATGTACCAACCACTCTACACTCTAAGCTTAATTCCATGCTTTCAGCTACACTTCTATGAATACACACACATATATAAACACACACATATATATCTACATATATGTATATATACATATACATCATATATATATACACCAACCACTCTACATTCTTCTCTTTTTTAAAGAATTTTATTGTAAAGGTTCTATACAGAGACGTACAGTTACATGAGTCAGGTAATGAGTACATTTCTTTTAGAACAGTGTCAAACCCTCCCTCATTCTCTCCCGGTTTTTCCCTTCCCATCTCCCCTCCCCTCCAAAGTTGTAATGTTCGTTTCCAACATAGTGTCTAGTGAGTGTCATTGCTGCATTGGTTCACCCTTTGTCCCACCATTTCTGTGCTTCCTCTCCTCCCCTCCAAATCAGATAAACTTATATACAAATCATAGGATACTCTTAATCTCATGGTTTCACTTCCACATACATATATATGCAGAATAAGAAAGATACGAAGTGTCATTCAATGTGTCTTTGTATTATTATTGTAAATATGAGACATGTACTTTACAAGTTGTATATGTACATGGAAGTTTTTCTTCCATTAACAGTAACGGACAACCATCTACAAAGATTGCATAAATTCTCTTCAACCCATTTGTAATAAGTTGACTGTCCACTTAGAGGATGTCTGTGATGGTAAAGCTCACAAGCCAACTAAAAGTGTGTGATTCTGATTTTGTGTATGTGTAGTACCAGGAATGCCCTCAGCATCATCACAAAATTCTCAACAGCCATCTCTGTTTATCTACTACGTAATTTTATGTAAAATTTCTCCATTGTAATACTTAATACCCAAAGGACCCCATTTGTGGCCATTAACTTCTGCATAAAATTCTAACAGTAAGATTTTTTTACCCTCATATATGTTCACAATATGTGCTAGAATCATGAATATGCATTTTCAATTACTTGAGAAATATTTACTATGTGTGAATTTTAAGCTAAGTTTTATATGTTTTCTCAATAGCTTAAGTTTAGGCAGACACTTCTGCAAATCAAGAAGTGAGTAGTCATTTTTTTCAAACATTTGAATATCTTCTGCATATAAGGATAATACTAAATGCCTGATTCTTATGCTAAACTTTACCTTGGGATATTTCAAGTGGTCAGAAAAAAGAAAGACATGCAAGTTAATCGAGTCCCTTTCTGTTGGTTGGTTGCAGAGTTGATGGGCTTTCAGAAAAGAAAGTTCCAGAGATGAAAATAAAAAAAAAACCACAATTTCATTCTTCACACACATATGCAGACACACACTTGCTCATGGATAGTGTTTATTCACTGTTGAATTAGACTGTCAGAACACACTCACTGTAAAAGGCAAGTGTCCTCTGAGCAAAAGCTGGTTTCCATGGTGCTGAATTATCCACCTAAAAAGTATGTACCAGTCCTTAGGTACATTCCGGCTATCGGTGCGCCCAGGCCAGCCACAGGTCACCCAGGGCCATAGCGGTGAGACATTTGTACTGAATAGAAACAACACTGGGGCATGCAATTTCACTTTATGCATTTCAGCTTCTGTTTAGGGGGAAAATTCCATTATCTTATGGCTTATATGTTAACAGGTCAGTGAATCATGTTGCTTGTTTTCACTTTGAAAGCTACTTTCAAATGGTTGATTTTGCAACTTAGATACATACTCAGCTCTGTGAACAAATATGTCTTAAAAGCATCCTTGTGTGCCTTCCTCATCTGTTTTAGTTTTGTGAGATGAAGGAAAGACAAATGCTACCTTGTATGTGTTGTATAGGAAGGGGGAGATGGGCTGACATAGTCATTTCTAAAAATCTCTTAAGACTTGTACCTTCCAAGTTTAACACACACAGGCCAGAATACCGATTAAGTTAACAGGCATTCCAAATTCTAACACATACTCATTACTTATCTTATATTGTTCACAAGAGTACAATTGATTTCATCCCCAATCTGGGAGACTAAAGCTTGAACAGATTTCCGGCAAAGGATCTTTAAATTACGACTAGTGGTAATTTTTTTTTTAAAGAACCACTTCAGAATTCAGTACAGAGTTTCAACTGTTTGACCAATGGCTGTTATTCTACATATCAGAGAAAAACATGAGTCTATATAGTAAAAGTGGATTTTCTTTTAATTTCTTGACAGCTAGACTTCACGTGTCTGGAGAAAATACAATCCCAAGCAGTAAACGTCTAGTCTGGGAGAGATAGCATGGTTACCGACATAATTATAAAGTAAAATCCATCAGAACCTTATTGTTCTTGTTATTGCTATTTGAATGAAAAAAGTTCACTAGTTGAAGGTCATTACTGAGTTGGGCTCACTATCAGAGTGTTAGGGGACACATTCCCTGTAAATTCGATCAATTCCTAGAGAGGCTGTGAATTAGAAGCTCCCAGAACTCAGGACTTCACTCTTGTGGCTCAAGTGGAGTAGGAAAAAGCTGGAGCGTGGTGTGATGTGGGAACTTCACTTGTAGCTCTCCTGTGACTATATACCTCAGGACTGACCAGGGAAAGACACCCCAAAAAATAAAAATAACAAAATAACAAATACTGGTTTTAGTTGCAAAGGGAAAGAAGCTCAATAAACATTTCCAGCTCCCCAAGCCTGGAAATGGTTCTGTGCCTCCGCTGAACAAAGGTCGGTTGTGAGCCCTTGGCCTTCCAGAAATCTCAACTGCCTTCATATGAGTTCAAAGATCGGTGTCCTGGGAAGTTAGCTGGATTGGAGACTAAATTATCCCCGTTCACTGGGAAAGATGGGGGGGGACCGGAAGGAAACTTACCGGCGAAATGACTCTCCCAAGACTTAACACACTCAAGACCTCACTTACAGAACCTTCTGGACTTGGTGGACACCCTTTAGAAGAACTCAACTTAGGATACTTGGAAGCTGCTGGGCTGACAGACTCTTGGGATATCTCCTAGCCCCAGTGATCTGAGCACCCAGATAGAGGTCAGCTGGCCGGGGTAGGGAAGAGGGGTCGGACCCGGACCCGTGCTGTGGACCTGAGCTGGTGGACAGTCCAGGTCCACTCTGCCAGGCTGGGAGATCTCATCCTGGAGCTGCGGCGCCTCTTGACCTCCTGCCTTAGAAGGGGGTGCCAAGCCAGAGAAGCTTGGATCCCCGCATGGCTGCCTGTATTCTTGGTGATTGAAAAACCCGCCAATCGTACCTCCTGGAGAAGCAAGTGGGGTGGGGGGCACCCTCCAGAAGGAAAGCAGCCAAGGATCGCCCCCTGCTACCCACTTCCAACCCCCTTTCCCCCAGAGCCTTCCAGTGCTTTCCTGACCTCCACCATCCCCGACTTGGTTCCCCGCGCTGGCGCGCACCGCCTCACCAGGGACCCGCTGTGCCAGTGCTGGCCACGGGGAGCAACCGAGACCCCAGCCCCAGCCAGGCAGCCTGGAGCGCTCGCTCCCCGCCCCCCGCCCAGCCCACCCCGCCCGGACCCAGGCTCACTCACCGATCCTGAGCACTTGAGGGGCGGTCTGCGGGAGGATGTAGCCGAGAAAATAGAGAAGGGTCCAGCCGGTGTCCCTGCTCCACAGCCCGGGCTGCGCCAGGACCATAGTACAGCGCCCCATCTTCCCCCAGCTTCTTATTTCATGCTGAGGCACAATCGTGGCTGCCCGGCTGCGAGATGCTCTCCCACCCCGGCGGGGTCCCCGCGCCTCATCCTCCCGGGAAGGCTCTGGTGGGTCTGCACCCCGTTCCCTTCCCCTGGTGGTGCTGGAGCGAGGAGCGAAGACGCGAGGAGCGTGGGAACAGGGGGGAGAGCTCCACCAGGCAGTGCTCCTGCCGCCGCCGCCGCTAGCCCATCACGGCTCCTCCTCCTCCTCCTCCATGAAGCGCGCGCCGGGAAGGGCGAGCGCGCTGGGGCCGCTGGCGGAGCGCAGAGAGCCGCTGAGCAAAGTTGTGGCTAGCCCGGTGGTGCGGGCACGTCCTCCTCATCCGTCCTCCGGTCCGGATGGCAAAAGTCCGGGGAGAGGCGGGAGGGTGCAGCTGGAGCAGAGAGAAAGCCAGGGAGGGAAGGAGGGAAGAAGGGAAGCGAATCCAGAAGCAAGAGAGGCAAGTGGGTGAGTTGGTTGGTGCAGGGCTCCAAGGTTCCCTGGGAGCCCAGCCACCACCACCGCGCTCTCTGGCTGGCTCTCTGGCTCTCGGGTTCCTTTAGGTCCTGGCTTTTCTCCGCCCCTCGCTGGCCCCACCCTTTAATTTATCGCCCGCCCCCTCGGATCCAGACTTCTCAGCCAGCTCCTCTTCTTTCCCTTCTGCCTCAACTTTGTGCTGTGCTCCTGGAGAGTCAGTCCACACAGCTCAGATCTAACCTATTGGGCCAAGCAGAGGCAGTCTAGAAACCACAGCAATGTCCCTGCTCTCCCCAGGAGGGAAATGTGAAGTGAAGACATGGCCAACTATCCATCCCCCCCCACCCCCGTCTCTTGATGGAAAAATTTTAAAAAAATCGTCTTCCTGGAGAGCCAATAGTTGGGAAAATATCAGAGTTCCCGGTTTTCACTCTTGACAAGGATGAAGAAGAGAAGGAAGAGGAGGAGGAGGAGAAAATAAAAAAGGGAAACCTTTAGTATTCTAAGATGATAGTGACTTTTTGGGGAAAAAAAATTTCTTTCTTTCTTTCCTATTTGGACAGGAGATAATGTCTTGTAAATTGCTTCCATTTACAAGCAGGAGTGAGGAGGAAGCCACTTCCAGCGCGCTGCTTTTCTTAATTTCTTTTGACTGTCACATTTGAACACTGGAAATAGGCTATTTTAACAATGTAGGTTTGGAAAAGGACAAGGACACTTCTCTGGGGAAATCAGAATCTGATCATGTTGGCTTAATTTCCTTTGAGCTTTGTGGGGAAATGTTCTATATATGTGTTTACTGGTTCTGTGTTAGCATCTCATAGAGATTCATTTTTCTTTTAATAAGAAAGGGTTTTGGAAAACGGACCTAAACTATGTGAATCTGTAAGAAAATCATCCCTAGATCTATGAGCCTAGAGTGGAATATAAATACAAAACCGTCTTTCTTTCTTTATTTTTTACTAATTATCTTTAAGTAGTTATGCAAAAGAGTTGTCACTGAGCAAAGCACTTTAAGAATACAAACGCATTGTGATGAAAGTTAGGCCTTTCGACACCTGCCTACACACCTTCCCTGACTTTCTTGAATGCTGTAGTATAAACATTTAAATTATTGACTACATTACTCCCCTCTCCTCTTCATTTTTTCTGCCCCTCTTGCTTGGCCTCACCTTTTGTAAGTTCCTGGATTGGATCCTTAAGTTCATCTTTTACAGACAACAAAGTTGCTCTGAGTAGTTATCAGACCAGCAGCAACAAAGTGACAGACAATTCCATTTTATGGGTTCGCCCTCTATAATTTTGAAGTGCTTGTTGCTGCACATAACCTGCACTCCAAGATGTACATTCCTCATCTATAAAATGAGATTCATAATATTATGTAAGGACCATTGGAGGATTGCATGAGTTACTATATATGCCATTATTCCTAAGGCCCTTATTTCTCAGTATATCTCACTTTTGGCTAAGCAAATCCGTATTTGTATTTCTAGTTTTAATATGCCCCCAAATGGCAGAGGCAAAAGTATTTTGGTGGGTTGGAGTAAATCAACAATACTGGCCTGATTAATAGTATGATAAGAATAGTTGGGCCAATGCCACTGAAAGAAATGTTACTACTTTTTAATAATGTAACCTTTAGTATATGAGTAAATAGCACTTTGTTAGTATCCTTAGAGCTAGAGATATTGTATTTCCTAAAGAAATAAATGGAACACTTATGCGACTTATCTGCATCTTTAGAATTTTGTAAAGCTCAAAACTAAAATGTATTTCCTTATTAAAATGCTTTCCTCCACTGCTCATGTACAGAAGCTCATGGTGGTGACTTACCCATGACTGATCATCAGATGCTACTAATTTGCTTCCTGCTTTGCAGAAGGCTTGTGTTTTGTGCATATAAACATCTAGTTATGCTCTGCCCAAAACAACTATGGTAATCGCTCTTTAAAAAAGAATTCTGGTGCTCAGGATCAAACCTAAAGCCTTATATATGCTGGGCAAGTGCTCTACCACATGAGCCATGCCGTCAATCCCTTTGTTTTGTCTTTATGCTTTTGAGACAGGGTCTTTTACATAGTTGGTGTGTGTTTATAGCACATATGAACCCCCATGTCTGGTCTGGTACTGACTCTTGATTTGCAAATTTTCATAGTGTTATCTTAAGAATAACAATATCCAATTGAATGCATGCTGTCTTTCTCCAAAAAAAGCTTAAGTTTAACTTCTTATACCATTGGCAATAATAAACTTATATAGTAGCATGTATCATTGTGTTTCATAGGCGGGCTCGTGGCCTTACCTAGATAATAATCCATTCATAGAAGATAACTAGATAAAGGAAAAATGATTTGTTTTAAAACTAAGCAATTCAAATATTAAAACTGTGTCTTCAAGATGTGAGAGTATGCTTAAAGTGTCTTTATCATGTTATCCAGAGTGCTAAAAGCAAACAAATGCATTACTAATTTTTCATTATCAATCCTCACTTATTAGAGACAACTTCATACTTTTGTTGTTAGGTGATATAATATAATTTCATAATGTCAAATGTTACTGACACAGCATTATAGATTCACTTCAAAATGAGTTCCACCCTCTATCCAGCTATTCAAACTGGGCATGCAGATCACTTGGGATTTTTCTTTTGATATTCCTTCTCTAAGTCTCCTTTATTTTCATGCACTATTTTTTTATGAATATTGCCCTAGTCTAGCATTAATCAACTTCTCTGTGGTGCCACTATCATTACAGTAGCCTGAGACTTCTCATCTTCCAAACTTTGGACATTTGGGGCTAGGAATTCTTTGTTGGGTTGCCTACCCTATGCAAGGTAGGGTGTCTAGCCATTTCCTTGAAGTCTATTCACTAGATGTCAGCAATACCTCCTCCCAAGTTTTGACACACCCAAATTGCAGGCATTGTGAAATGTGCTCTGAAATACAACCTCACCCCCTAATTGGGAACTGCTACACCAAGAAGTCACTGTGGTCTGCCATAGGCATTAATACCATGGACCATTCACTTCCTGCCTCCCCTAATTTATGTCTGTTCATTTTGTTCATTGGAGCTAAACTCCTGGCCTTTGGCTTCCCCTCATGGCCATTATCAGCTCTATAATACATCTATCTTATTAAAAAAAAGTTCCATTTTCTGCTCTGTTTTCTGACATATCTATGCCTAGGGCTGTGTCTGGCATGGAAGCAGAGCTTAATCAACGTTGATCAAATGCAAACATGGACAAAGGAATGACACCATTTTGCAAGCTGTGAACCTACCAATTCACAACTGCAAATCAGAGAGACACTTGAATCATGACTCAAAATTTACTTTTAAATTCATCCTGCATGCCAATTTAATGCTTACTGATATCCCTGGTATGTGAGTTAGCATACTGTCTAGTAAAACTAGAGTGCAGTCTTAAATGTGTTTCTTCAAATTACAGAAAAATAGAATATATTTTATTTCTCACCACTGTAGATATCATTACACACATCTTAACTGTTTTATAGTAATTTCTGTACCAACACCAGTCTGTTTGTCACCAGTCTGTGGAAAGCAGCTGTAGTGAATCTTTGAACGACAAAAAAGAAGGATTTTATTTATTCATTCCCTTGCTTCCTATTATAACAACCAAGAGCGTAAAGAAATTCAGTCATGTAGGAGATCCAACCCATGTTAGTGTTTAGCTACTCCATCTGTAAATAGAGTTCCGCAAAGATAAAAAAGGAAAGAATCAGAGTGAGCAGTCAGGGTGTTAGGGACCCTGGCTGACCTCTAACTATTACTTCCTGCTTTCCATGGTTATTTGGATTTTGACAATCTCAACAATTGTCTGAAGGGTTTGGACTAATATTGTCCATTTTCCCTCTTAGGAGGGAAAGGTTTACATTCTCAGTCCCTTCCTACTTATAAATAGGAATAGCTTACAAAATAATAAGCATTTCCTTTTTACTTATTGTGTATGTCAGGGACTGGTTTGTGTGTGTACGTGTGTGTGTATGTGTGTATTTATGTGTACTATGTTATTTAAACTATTATCTAGTCTTATCTCAGGAGATAAGAATATTCTGCAAATGTCACAGCTGAGGAAACCGAGGACAGTTCCTGAGACAGGACAGCATGTGTCAGACATCTTACAATTAAATGAAAAAATTTGAAGTGAATTAGTCTGGCTCTATAGTCCCTGCTATTTTTGTAAACTAAATTAAAGTGAATTCACGTTATATACCATTAGCCCTTTAAAATTAAGGTTTAGAGACAGTTGGTACATTCACAGTATCGACATCATCAACTTTAGGTAATCCTATTGTGGCAAGAGAGTTGAGAGTTAGAAAAGTAGTAGAGGTAAATTCAGAAAGGCAATGGGCATTCAAAGCTACAGATTTTATAGGATGTTGTGAGAAATGACTTAATTTGGACAAAATGAGAAGTTATGACAAGATTTAAATAGAAGACTGTTGTGATTAGGCTTATGTTTTATTTTGATCTGATTTGTT